ATGCCCTGCAAATTTTCACTCATCAATCAGAAAAATAAATAAATAAATAAATAAAAAGAATTGACAGTCCAAAATTTAAGACCTTGTTCATAAATTCTGCCAAACTGTGAGTGCCCACAAGACTTGCTGTGCTCTTCACCATAATCAACTTGCCCTCCTTTTAGATAGTAGAACAACTCCCTGGCCCTGAAACCAAAAAACATCCTTAAAATTAACAAAAAAAAAAAGGAAAAACACTATGGCACAAAACATTAAATCAGACACAAGAACAAAAAAATAAATAAATAAATAAATAAAATAAATCACCACCTATCATATATACTGGTTAATGAGCCTAAATCAGGCACAAGAACCCTATCATCTTTCTTTTCAGCTCCCCCAAAATAAGACAAACCTCCTAATCTCTGTAAGAAAAAACAGATCAAACAAAATCAAAAACAAAAAAAAAAAAAAGAGATCTCAACCAAGAAAAAAAAACAAAAATTCAATCTTGCAACTTTAGTGTCGACGAAATTCCTGAAAAAAGGAAACTGAAAACTTTCAATGATTTGCTCGTACCCCTTTACCAAATCCAAAAATGCCATGAACCAAAACAATGGGGGGCAAATCGTCAACGCCGGTTGACCTATCCGAGCCCTCCCTTTTCAGACCGCCGGCCGGACTAGGTCTGAAAATCCAATCCCCGATCGCCTGAGAAAGGTCGCCGGCTAAAGCCGTGCTGAAAATGTAAAACCCGTAACCCAAATGCACCATGGAGCTAACAAAAAGCTCCGCCAATTGCAGGGACGATATCCACCACCTCATCATTTTTCTTTTTTTTTTTTTATCTGCTAAACTCCTTTTTTTTTTAATCCTCTGTACCTAAAATTATCCAGATTTAATGGTAATAATGGAGAAAAGAATCGATTTTGTCCAATTACAACCCTAAAAAACAAGATCACGTACGAATGGTGTTTGATTCAGAGCCTTCTTTCTGAGTCAAAAGAAGGCTCCGGCTCATCAGACAATGAAATAAAAATCCAATCTTTAAGCGTGTGAAGCTATGAGAACTAAGGTTCCTGTTTTGAAAAAAAATGAAAGAAGGAAAAGGAAATCTGAGAGACTTTCAGCTGAATCGAATTCTTATTTAATGGGGAAAAAAATAATGGATTTTTTTTTTTTTTTATTTCTCTCTGAGTCTCAAGCTTTGAAAATGGAGTCTCCCACAATTTTCTCATGCTTTACCTTTCACCCAATAATGAAATTCCCAAATAAAATGAAAGAATAGATAATACTTAATAGTGGGACCTTTAACAGTTACATCACACTTTTCCAACAAAACTACACACATATTTTAAAAAATATAAATAAATAAAATATGAAATTTTATAGCACATGCACATGTGTACAGGAAAAAGTTATAATTTCGTTACGGAATTATTCCAGATTTATAATCGTTAAATCATCATGTAACCGTCGTGAATACTTGATCTAATGGTTACAAACTCTGACGGAATGATTCCGTAACGGGACTATAGAATCTCTCCATGTATATATTTTTGTGAAAGTCCGCGTAACTATTAGTGTTTCAAAGAAAAATAACTAATACACAAAAGTGCTTGGATGAGATGGCTTGGGTTTCTTCCAACTTAATCAGTGGTCTCGTGTTCGAGCCCTGAGAATGCAACAGTGTTAAAACTCTTGAGGAAGA